TGCCCCCCCCCTCCATGGGCGGGCTGCCCCCCCTCCCCCAGCATGTTTCTAGGTGACTCCAGGCAAGCGCCTCTGGTTTTTGTGCCCCTTTTCCTTGCCCGCAGTTGGGGGTGGTGATGCCTGGTTCCTCCAGGGGCGTGCTCTGGGAATCGGGGTGTGTGCGCGTGTGCTCTGGGAATCGGTGTGTGTACGCGTGTGCTCTGGGAATTGGGGTGTGTACGCGTGTGCTCTGGGAATCGGTGTGTGTGCGCGTGTGCTCTGGGAATCGGTGTGTGTACGCGTGTGCTCTGGGAATTGGGGTGTGTACGCGTGTGCTCTGGGAATCGGTGTGTGTGCGCGTGTGCTCTGGGAATCGGTGTGTGTACGCGTGTGCTCTGGGAATTGGGGTGTGTGCGCGTGTGCTCTGGGAATCGGGGTGTGTGCGCGTGTGTATAGTTCTTGGAGACTGGTAAATGCTGTAAAGGGCAATGATTTATTAGTCTCCAAGCCCTGTGAGTCCGTCACTTAAAAAACAACGATCGGTCGTCCTGTGGCACCTTAGGGTGCGTCTACACAGCACCCTAAACTCGAAATAAGACACGCAATCTGCGCTATGCAATTTGTGTATCTTATTTCCATGCTGTTTCGAAAGAGCTTATTTCGTCACTTGGCACCGTCCACACAGTGCCAATTTCAAAATAAAGCGCTATTCCAAAACGTCCCTTACTCCTCATAGAATGAGGTTTACAGGGACGTCGGAATAGCAAGCCAAAATAACTATTTTGAAATAAGTATTATTCTTCTCACAAGCAGGAGCTGTTATTTTGAGATAACAAGCTCACTGTTTTGAAATGATTTTGAAATGATGGATTTGCTGTGTGGATGCTCACCTTGTTATTATGAAATTAAGGGGGTTATTTCAAAATAATCTTGTAGTGTGGACATGCCCTAAGGTGCTATAGAACTACTCATTGTTTTAAAAATTATTTATTAGTAATAGATGCCCAATTTGAATAGGTCCAGCAGGCGCGGACTGTACACTGCTGTTCTGGTATAGCCATAAAGTTACCTGAAAAGGCTTGGAACGCTGATTTAGAGAAGTCTTTCTGAATAAGCAAACCATGAAAACTATATTCTATTTTATAGACTATATATATTCTGTAAATATAGACTATATATATTCTGTATACAGTAAACTTCCAATAATCCGGCACCTTTAGGACCCAGGGGGTGCCGGATTATCAGATATGCCGGACTATCAGAAGGGGGGGGTTATGAGGGGTCTGGAGTGGGGTGGGAGGGGATGCTACCCCAGACTCCTCATAGCCCCCCCTTACGATAGTCCGGCTCTGCCCCAGGCGTCCCTGATTCAGCTGCTGCTGGTGAGTTTCATCAGCAGCTGAATCGGGG